AGGGCGGGGGGCAAGGGTGGGGGCAAGGGCGGGGGGCAAGGGTGACCTCTTCCCTCCCTCCCTGCAGAAGTGGCGCCCGTTCTGCCTGCAGTTTGAGGGGGCAGTGGAGGACTTCAACTTTGGGACGCTCCTGCGCCTGGACTGCCGCCGTGGCTACTCTGAGGAGAACACCGTACTGGGTGAGTGCTGGGTTAGGGCTGGGCTGGGTTGGGCCGACGGCAGGCTGGATGACGGCCAGGGCTCCCTCCACAGTGCCCAGGATCCAGTTCCTGGCCATCGAGATCGCACGCAACCGTGAAGGCTGCAACGCTGCCGTGTACCGCCACGGAGGAGCCCCGGAAGCTGGCCCCATCCCTGAGCCAGCTGGGCCCCGCTGAGACCCTCTGCTCAGACGCTGCTTCTGTGCGGCGAGGGAGAGCCGTTCTCTTGGCGCCACACTCAGGAGCCGCACTGGGATCTTGCGGGCCATTGGCGGGCGCCAGAGGGAAGATGCAGGACTTGGCTGTGAAGCACGCCTGACCCTGGATGACAGAGCAAGCCTCTGACCAGGCATCCCGCTCGCGGCATCGCTGGCTCCCCTTCCCCCCCTTCCATCCCCGGTGCGGCCTAGAATGGTGGGGGGCCCGTCTGCCTTCTCAGAAATCCCGGACCCTCCGACGGTTGAGTGCCTTTCTGCTAAGGGGCTCTTCTGTAGCTGCCCATCCCGAAAGAAGAGCTGGACAGCTAAGCAACCCCTTTTCTCTCCTACCTGAGGGATGGAGACGCCCCCTGCAGCCTGTGAACCCTGCCCCCTCCTCAGGCAAAACCGCCTGTGCGGCTTCTGCTGGATCAGCAGAACCGACCTGGGCTGAGTCTTGGCTTGTAAACAACAGCGATTTCAAAAGTTAACATGTCGCCTGGCTTGTTTTTTGAAGATGGGGCCCAGGTCCTCGGGCGTACCTTGCGCAGGGATGGTGGTTTCCGGGCAGGCCCCTCCTCCTGGTTACTCTGCCGTTGGTATCATCTAAGAGTAATGTTCTGGCCTAGCTCCACACAGTTCAGTAGAAACCACTGAAATTTATTTGCAGCCACAATGCTTACACTGTATGCAGCAAACATCCGTACAAATCATCCAGCAATCTGGTCACACAAAAAGGACCCAGCACACAATCGCCAGAGAAAATAATTCTCCCCCCATCAAGGAGGTGCTATTTGGGAAGAGAAACCAGGGACAGATTAGATCTGGGCTTGGGGGTACAGAAAACTAGCAGCAAGAAAACAGGGTAGGTACAAGGTGAACAGGTCTCACCCATTGTTTTTACTAAATTTAAATAGCCGAAATGTTACCGCAGCATTAGGGGGGAAAACAGATTTGTCTGAAGGAGTTACGGTGCACATCTTGTTAGGCCTGCCTTGTTGCAGAGAACCTGCCCGTTGCTTCCAAAGAAGTAGACGGAGCTCCAGGACACTCAGTGAGCAACGGTGCAAGAACAGGTGGTTCACGGCTGCTGCCATTGCCGCCTTCTGGGGAGGAAAGAAGATAGCCGAGTCCTCTGTCTCCCGGCAGCCTAGAATCTGGGAGACTTGCATGAACCTGAGGGGAGAGCCTGGTGCTGTGCAGTAAGGGAGGTGGTCAAGCTTGGCCTCCCAGCTGGCGATGGAGACCAGACTGAAGCAAAGGGGGGGAGGGGGTGCGGATGCACTTGGAACAGCATGAATGTGGCATGGCTTTGAGTTCCTAATGAGGGAAGGCTGGGAAGGATGGTCCAAGTCCAAGGGATGTATAAGAAAAATATACATTTGGAATTTTACACTTGTGCCTCTATACTGGTTACTAAATATAGCTCTGTACTTTCACACCCCCTTGCTCCGTAATGTGGCAGGTAGCCAGGAGACCCAGCTGCTTCACTTGCATACAATCCTCACTCTAGCACTGGTGCACTATGTAAAAATTTCAGTCACACTTTTTTAAACTTGAGTCAATATAAACCTTGTTCAAAATGTTATGAAAAAATGTACATGTTTATACAAGGCAGGCTGTGGCAGGACACGGGGTTCCTCCGACATTCACGCAGGGAGGTGCCAATTGTGCCTCCCCAAGGAAAAAAACCCTCTCCTAGTGAACCTTTTACACCCCTCCCTCCTGCAGCCTAGCCCCAAGGACCAGCAGGGATCGGAAATGCCCTTTTGTCTTTCCATCGGAAAAGTTAACCTCCCCAGCCCAGAGAGTGGCTTCTTGCGAGATGTCAGCTCATCATGTCATTGCTGTTTACCCCATAGGCAGAATTCTTCATAGAATCATTTACCTCTCGGCGGAACGCAGAAAGGTTCTGTGTAAACCTGTCGAAGAAACATAAGTTAGGAAAGGGGCAAACCTCTGACCTGCCCTTCCGTCCAACAACAGAGAGGTACTGGGTGGAGCAGTATTCATTCCCAAAGAATTGCTAAAACAAAAATCAACAGTCCAGTTTCTGGCAAAAGCTCAATTTTCTAATGTTCTGGATTACAGCTTTGAAAACAGGGCAAGTTGATACTTCTTCAGCTCCTCCCATTTCCTTCGGTTTTCTCTTGGACACTGTTGGAAATTTTCCAATTTGGAAATCTGAATTTTTAACACATAATTAAGCGAAGTGTAGCTACTTTATAAATTTGGGAAAGCACCAACTGGGTTCCTTCACCACAGGTACCTAATGCTTGTGAAAGAATAATTTACCCTATTCCTTAACTTCTTCCAACTGGGGATAAGGATATTTCTTATGTTCTGCTGAGAGGGAAAAGCATTGTGCAAAGCAATGAGGAGTGGCTGCATCAGGCTGGACAGCTTATTCAAAGGCTGAAGCTGCCCCTCTCTCTTCCCCCACTCCTGGGGTAGGCAACCCTTTTGAGCCAGGGGCCACAGTGGGCAGGGAATGATGCGCGTGCTTTCCCTTTTTGATTCTGTTAAGTTTATGATGGGGTTTGGAGCCTCAGTATAGTGAGGTATTTTGTCAGCGCAGTAGTTTCTTGCAATACGGGTCAAAAGAGGTGCTGGAGCCACATGTGGAGGAGGCATGTGGTACTTGGCCCCTGGGTGATTGGCCAGTCCTGTCCTGGAATTCAGGTCCTAAGCTGTCCTTCAGCGACACTCCTCGATTAGAATGCAACTAAAAGAGGATGGGATCTCTGCGGAGGCAGGGCTGTTAGTTATCTCCAAATAAGGCCACCAGACCTCAACTCCTGCAGGCTGCATTTTGTGAAGAGATACTGACCTATCACGATTCTTTGTCAGCAAATTGCGCTCAATGCCTTCCATGAGATTTTCAAAGCAGAGGTGCATAGCTTGTTGTTTCTCAGGGGGCTGGCTGTTGACTATGCTATTCCTTAAATCTGAAAAATACTGCAAGGGAGAAGTTGACACAGTGAGTTATCCGGGACACTGTGCCCAAAGGACCTCCAGCCCACATTAACACTCCACACTAATCAGAAGCCTTACCTTTTCATTGAGTAGTATCAAGCCAAGCAGGGGCCGGGACATAGACCACTGATTCCTGCAATCTTCAAATATGATGATATTCAACACCGTGGATAGCATCTGGAAGGATCAAACACAATCCAGTCAGCTGTACAGACCTACTGAGCTCAAGCTGGGAAGGAGCAGAAGAGGTAGCAGTGGGTGAGTCATGACAGCTTATCTCATAAACAGTAATTCAGCCCAGTGGAGAGAAGTCTGGGAAGAAGCATTTAAAAGTACTGTATTTTTCGGTCAATAAGACGCCCCCATGTACAAGAT